ATTATGCGACGGACAGTACTATTCTCCATACTCTTCAGAAACAGCAAGCGAGTCCAGTCCCTGAGCTGAATAGGAGGAATAGGGAGATAGCCGCTCGAGTGGGCATCTTAGAATCCGCGTGAAGTGCTTCAGTCACTACCTAGTGCTATGATTCCAAATGGTGTCGCAAAGTATGTTGACAAATCAGCTCAAGAATGTCGGCAATCCTATTGTCCTTATCTGATGGGCGGAACCATCGTCAATAGTCCGGGATCTCTGATCAGTAAAGGCAACTCAAAGACCAATAGACAGTACTTTGTGGAGTGGCCGCCGAGTGAGCCCGGATAATACCCCGAGGAGTGAGTACGACGAAATAGTATCCTAGCCGACAACCGATCGTTAGCATGGATGGAGTATTTTATGGCGTCATTCTGTACTCGCGGAAGATCTCGCGCCTTTCCATTTCAGGCCCAATCACAAGACAATGCTGCGCATTCGCTCCAGGTTTGAGAACTGATTCATCTCTGTTCCATCTCCGCTATTCCCTCGCTATCACCTCCAGGTGCTTTTTGAGACATGGCGTACTTAATGCCGCCAGAGAAAATAGACAGTACTACAAGGCAAAGAATAGAGTTGAGGGCGTGCAACTCAATGTAGCAGCGTCTAACGGACATGCAGCGTATAGTTGCACATCCCCAGTGCTACCTAAGCTTTGGTGATCTCTCCATCCTCTCAGCCACTCGGCTCCCAACACTGATACATTCCTGACTTGCCTCGTGGGCTAGCGAATCAAGTATCCAGAGCACTGCCCTCGTCCATCCCGGTCCAGGCATCCTAGAGGGGCAGATGACCTGAGAAATTATCGGCATTAGACTTTGGTGTAGTCTTGCAGAGGGTCACTTGAGCGGGAACTAGAGTCGATCAGGGCCGTGCACGCATACTCACATTCCAGACTTGTCTCACCTCGATGACAGTTGTGCTACCAGCTGTTTGCCTCTTCTCTCTGAATAGACGGTCATCATTCGATAGTCTCGTCATCATGGATCTTCAACAGTTCGCTGTTGAGGCGATAATGATGGAATTTCACTAGCGTGATGATCCTCTAGGATGCCTCCTGCTGGGGTGAGTGGTATCCCCAGTGGCGTAGATGAAATATCTCGCTCTGGAAATTGCGCGGATATTGCGAGGCAAACATGCAAGTCATTAGACAAGAGATCTAACCTAGCCGCTTTCGTGCGTTTGGTGACTCATGTTCTTCCGATCTGGATCAAGATCCAGTACTGACTCATCTAGACAATCCGAGCAATTCGTCCGATGAAAGCTGACAGATGGATCGACTAGCCTCACATCCTAAAAGGCAAAGACAGACTCCCCCGTAGCAGTATCAAAAAGTAGATATCGCCATAAGCACGGACGACGGGCCACGCCAACAATGAACTTGTCAGCCCATTTGATAGAATGAAGTCCTTGCATCAGGCAGCAAGATGGTTCACTTGGAACTCACACCACCCACAGCGCTGGCAACGCTTCCAGAATAACCTGACGGCGGTGGCTGCAGGAGTGCCTTGTTGCATGCCATTGCCAGGGAAAGGAACTGCCGAGAGCCAAGAGAGTGAATGACTGCCCTTAGGATTGAGGTCAGCGTATTGCAACCGGTACGATTCATGGAACCAATCAGGATGGGTTAACCTACCTACTTGGTTCCTGTCAGAGCTGTTGACAGTGGCGCTCAGGAATTGTATTCGCAAATAAACTCACAGCCAAGATGTGGCCCGAACTTTATTTTCGTTGTATTCGTCTCCATACTGATTGATTCTCTATCTTATCTCGATACGTAGTCTGGTTGAGTCCCGTCCGAAACGCGAGTAACGAGGATTTTGATTGGGAACCATTGATGGACTTTATGTTATGATGATTCATGACAGATGTGGCGAGGACCTATCCATTGCCTGCCTTTGACTCTTGCCGTAATGTATGACCATATGATTCGATCGATCAACTTGAATGCAAATTACTAAGGTAGATAACAGTTGGAGTACAGATGTACCTTACCTCAGTCTCCAGAGATTCAACGGACTCATTGTTCTCAAGTCCATGACTAATGACTACAGAACCTTTCCGCAAGGAAGCCCTAAACTACCTGGGTCTTAGGGCGTTGGACTCGACAACACTCTGAGTGTTAAAATCCGATATTCACTTTCTGATAGAATCGGTTTTTATTTTTTATTTCTATATTTTTTTTTGAAGATAATAACCTACAGTAACTGTTGTTAAGATAACTTGCCTTATGCAGAAATTATGTTGCTTAGACGATGCTATAATAGGCAATTCGGTCTATGCGCTGATGGACGAGGATAACCCCACAGAATTCAGCCAATGATCACGTAGTTCTCGCTACCCCACTGGTGTACGTACCTTACTTTAGTAGGGGTCCGCTGGAAAAACCCACACAGTCCACAGTTGATTTCTAAACAGACACAAATAGAACAATGAAGGAATGAATCAATAAATTATTCAATTAATTGTTTCATACTCTGTAAATATATCCAACCCAATTATCTCATACATAAGATTTCACTAGTAATGAACATCAGTACTCCGCATTTGACCACGCCAATGGCAACTGCATAACAGGTTTGCTTTCCTTGCAGTTGCAGGGGGCCAGAGGTCCAGATGCCCAGACCAGCTGGATCCTTGTTATCTGACTGGTTGCTGGGAGATGGACTAAAGGTTCCATGGATGGCCGAGCCCTTGCAGACCCACTGGGCTGGTCAGCTGCCAAACTTGATTTTGCGGTGGAGAGCGCCTAGAGAAGAGCGTCTTCGGTGTTCGAGAAGAACGACTTCCCGGGTAACCGCTGAGAGCTGGTCACGCAATTTGGACTATGACTCGCTAGAACAAGTTGGACAACATGAAAAATAGTGACTGTGGAACACTGCCGCAAAATATTAGCATATCACATTATTTTCAATGACTATTATATTCTAATATGATGACTAGATTATCAAGAGGATACTCTTACTCTTGGTGATTGGTGGTCTAGACTCTAGGATCAACCAGCACGCAGAATTTGCTTGCCTTAGTCCCTTTGTTAGTCCCCGGCTTGACTGTTTTGGGTCTCCCGGGCAAGTGTATAAATCTTTGCCGCTCCGGCACTCCTCCCCCTCGGCTGCCCCTCGACTCTCTCTGTCTGTTTCTCTCTCTCCCTTCCCTCCGGTGTCTCTCTCCAGATCTCTCTATCCTCCTCAGAAGCTCTCAAGTGTGTCACTATCGTGATTCATCATCTTCCCAATTAGGACAATCGCCATTGCCACTCGTCCAATGACATCACCTGATCTGTTACTCTGACGCGTATCGCCATACGCTCGACATCATCCCGACCGGGAAATCAAGGAATCATCATACGATTCCCTTCTGGATCATATTTGACCTGAACATCTACTCTCCATCCACCTCAATCCTCAATCATCAATCATTCAATCCATAATACAAATGGCCGTCACACTATCAACCACTCCCTCCATGAACAAGCGCTGGCCTCCTCTGGCCGACAAGACCTCTCTCCCCTACAAGCTCACCACCCTCTCCAAGCAAAAACTCGCCCGCGAGGCCACCTCCCCCGATCCGGACATCAGACGATGCCTCGGCCACTTTCGCCTCCACTGCACGTCCATGGAATGGGCCCAGCGGGATATGACCTCTCGCATCAACTCGTTTGATCTGGATTCCGACTCGGAGGACGAGGAGGAGACACACGACGATGAGGTCCCAGACGAGCTTGCACCGGAGGTGGTGGAGCCTCCTGTCGAGAAGGACAACATCATTACCATCACTGAATCCTCCGCTAAAGAGGAGACGACGCTCCATGTGAGCTTTGAAGTCGTACCAGACGTCCCTGCGTCTGCTCCTACTCCCGCCACATCAACAACAGAACAAGAAAAAGAGAGCCTCCTAGAAAAAGGCCGCAGTTGTCTGGAAAAGACAGTCCAGATGAAACATTTTTGGCCCGCCCGTGGGCCCTGTCTACCTGTTCGCATCGCCGGGTAGCCGGTTCTCATCATCCTCACGCTTTTCACACTCTACTCTTCGACCTCCTTCATCTCCCATCTTAATACACATTATAATCACGAAGTTACGACGTTACGACACTCTTTCAGTTCAAAAACGGGGGAAGCAGGCAAGCATAGGTCAGCATACCTCTTGACGAGGATCTGACGGAGTTGGACCGGGTTTCTGTATCTATTAAGCCATGCATCACTGGCAATCTATCTTTCAGTATATATAATAATATAAAAATCATAACCCAACAAGACTGACTCCCTTTCTTTCATCTACAACTTCAAGCCCAAGTCATACTCCATAGTCCGTCCTCATCCGAATACGGAGTACCCGGGGTCCATCCTCATCCGAATACGGAGTACCCGGGGTCCATCCCAGCCAAGAACCTAGTCGTCAGCTCCTGAACGCCTGAAAGCAATCACCCAATAATCTCATGATCTCGTCGGCCAAAGTCCACTACTCCACAGATCAGCATCGCCATCGGCCAAGTCTCCGGCCTCCACAATCCGGATTGCGGACTGCTCGTTTCGTTTCGTTTCGTCCTAAGTGGGGTGATGAATCCTGAGACCTGAAGGCGAAGTAGGATTTGTCCGTCAGTACGGAGTCATATCGCCTCGTCTCACAATCGCTTTACTTGACTGGTTCTGAACCTATTAAGTGCATGCTCCGTAGCTAATGAGGCTTCTTGGTTGGATCATTTCATGATGATTTCATGGCTGGGGGTAAAAGTACTGTACTTGTAGGATATACAGTATGAATAGATTTACTCTGAGCTGAAGTACATGCATGAGTTGTCATTCTTTCACTGTACTTGTACTTGAATAAACGAAATGCAAGTGACTCGCATATATAACACCCATACCATGCAGCCTACCAGGCGCCGAAGAACGACGAACGCCGAATGCACCGATGAACGAGGAGAACGCCGCCGCCGCCGCAAATTAATCATCAAGGAAAACAAATCAACCCAGATCATCATCCCATCCCAATTCCTCATAAATAGATTTCTCCGGCGTCACAGGCACCGCCGAGACGACCGGCACAGCCAGTCTGGCGCTACTCTTCACTGGTGTGGTGAGCACGGCTGCGGGGGAGGCGACAGGCATGCTCTCTTGGACGACAGGGGCTGGCCTTGGCGGTGTCTCCATCACCGTAGATGATTTGATGCCGATGACCTGATCGGCGGACCGCGGTGCAATCGGCGCCACGTCGGCGGATTTAGGGATCGGGCGTCGGGGAACACGGAATAGGTTCTTCGCTACGCCCGGGGATGCATCGTCCGCCGCGGTGTCCATCAGTCCCAAAGACTGCGCCGGCCGTCGAGATGGCGTTTCTTGGATAGCACCCATATCCCCCAAAACCAAACCAGGTGCAGCCCTGGACTCAGAGGCGGAAGTATTGGAGATGAAGCTGGGTCGGAGAGTAGATGCCGGAACCACCTGTGGCTCACTCGCAAATGGCGAGGATCCGTTCTTAGTTGCCGACGACCGCACGATATTCTTGAATGGCGGAGGCAAGCCCGTAATAGCGTCCTTCTTGCGGTTCCCCTTCGGGGTGGCCATGACCTGTACGCCTTGCCCGAACGGGTTGCGGACGGGGTTCTTGGGTTTTCTAGAGCTACCGCCCGATGCCCGCTTGTCCGCATCCTCTGCGATATCCTTCGCGACCAGTTCGCGGTTTGGCTTGCGGAGCGCATTGATCGCCGCGTCAAGCTCCTTCTTCTGCTCCATCAGCATTTGCACCTTCTTCAGCTTGGCTTCGTGCTGACGAGCCACTGCGTTCAGATCCACTTCGCGGTTTTCCGCCCGTTTCGGCTTCTGGATACCTCCTCTCGCACTGACGCTGGGCACCGGCAGCAGCGGCTCCATCGACTCGCGCTTGGCCTCTGATTGCGACGGTACAGTGTTGGAGCGTCCCAGAGACGGGGGTCGTCCTTGAGAGGCCGTTTGCTGGTCGGTGAGCACCCGCTGCAAAGATCGACGCGGATTTCTCTGAGAAGACTGCCGCTCAGTAGGCTTCCCAGGCTGTGTGCGAGATGTCTTCTTTGTGCTGCCGGATTGTTTCGCCAAGGGCGATATCGCCCCCGAGACACCGAGCTTGCGGGTGATCAGCTTGCATCTGTCCGGCAGACGTGAAGCATAAAATGGAACGATGACCTCGGTGCAAAAGTCCCGGACGGCATCGCTCTCGATCTTCTTACCCGTCTGACTGTCGAAGGATTTTGCGGACTCTGCCAATGCTGTGTCATCGGTACTGACCGCATGCCAAATGCACAGCCGGTCAAGGTGCAGTTCGAGCAGCACATCCAAATCCTGTGGCTTTTTCTTGGATTTGGTCCTGGTATCGTCCGACGGCTTCTCGGGAGAACCGTCCGTCTTTGATACCTCCCCAGGCCTGCTCATCTCCAAGGCCAACGTCTCCAAAATGAGCAGAATCTGCAACTGTGTCTCTCGTAGTCGCAAGTCCGCGATGTGCTTCTTGAGCTCTGCGTCGCGCGACGACTCTGCAGGAACCCCATTGTCCGCCAGAGCTCGATCTCTCCACCATTTGCGAATGAACCCCTGCTCTTCTGGGTAGAGTCCGTTCTTGCCCAATTTTCGTTTCCTGCTCTTGCGTTTCTTCCGCGCGTCATCATCCGACGTACTCAAAAGAACATCTCGGATGGTCAAAGGCAGTGTTTCACGATATTTCAAATCCATCTTCTTTGCGGCCAGAATAGACTCTCGGTAGAAGTCTGCAAGATGTCGAGGTGTATTTGTAGAATCCGATCCGGACGCCTGGAAAGCGGCGCGGCATCGTGCCAGAGGTCCTTTGGCAAAATATGCCACAGAAGTCTGGGTAAATTAGCACATAGACCACAAATACAACAAATACAACAGAGATACAAACCTTGGAGATGTAGAGAGCTTGCAGGTAGTGCTCCCTCATAGCATCCAGCAGCTCTTGTGGACATTGCGAGGGATCAACGGGCTGAGAGTCCCCATTAGCAGCAACGTCCCCAAACACAGCACCATCAGCATCCCGAGAATCGTGCAGCACGAACGGCATCTGCATGTCTGAGCTCGAACGCCTCTCCATTGGCAGCGCAGGAGGAGCCATCGAGGGCCTTTGCTCAAACGAATCCACTGGCGATATCTCTTTCAATGTCACGTCAGCGCGAGCATCAACTGCCCCCTTATTAAAGACAAGCGAAACATCGAACTTTGCGCGCTTGGCAGATGGCGGAGTAACGGATGTTGTATCCTCGATTTTGGCTTGCTGCCACCACTCCTCCCCACTCTCTGCTCCCAACGGAAGGTCGGACAGAATCCCCTCGCCGCACCCAGTAGAAGGGTTCCATCCCTTGACGGCAACAAAGATATCTCCCTCCTCCACACCACGAGCTAGCTTCGACAGAGCATAGATACCCCTTTTCACCCGCTCAACAGCGTATAATTCTCCATCAGCGACCAACCGCACAGCCAGAACGCACGGCTCAGTCCGACTCTGCAAACCCTCCTCCAAAAGAGGAATGTTGGCGACGAACAAACTTCCGCTCTGGATCTGCGACAATGCGGCTGGCGAATCGAGCCATGAGAACGGTAGCCGGGATCGCGGGACGACGGCGATGGGTTCGAGGACGTAGGGTTCGTCTGATAAAGCTGCGGCGTGTGCCTACATCGGAGACAGTTAACGAACGTCATGCTTCTGTAGCTGCTGTGGAAATGGTGGAACTCACCCTGATACTGATGGTCTGGCGGGAGAGTTCCCCTGTAGCTGCGTGATATGTCTTTCGCTTCTTCAAGGGAGGATGATTCGTAGAGGGATCATGGAGTCTGTTCAGCGAGAAAGAGCTGAGGGTTTCGAGCACGCCGGAGGAGCGACGCGAGGCCATGGACGCGTCTATCGGGAACCATGCATTATGTTCTTGACATTAGAGGAGGATGGTCTTGTTAGAGTAGATATGGGCAGATATGAGCAGTCAATGAATTCAACAGTACGGAGACCAGTTGAAACAATTGTCGATCCGCTGTCTGGTGAAGAACGATAGAAATGGATCTACTTTTGCTTGGTGGGGAAGCTCCAAAGTTGTCGCGATTCGCGAAGTCAAGCTTGGCGTCCGTCACGCGTCTCGTTGCAGCGACAACAACCAGAATGTCTTCGAGTCTGCTTGATTGCGAGCATGTCGAGGACAGGATAATGAGGTGAAAAGGATCATTGACTGTCATAAGCTGTCTTCTTGTCTTGCTATTTTTAATTGCGAATTATCCACCTCGCGAAGTGCAATGGCTTCACGCGTCGGTAAAATGATAGATCTTCTACATCTCAACTCTTTAAATGTTGACTACAAACAAGATATGAATAAATGTATCCGTGAATTATTCTATATAGCTAATGTTTAGATTAGCTCGAGACAACGGTTGAAGAAGACCAAGCTCCTTTCAACTGGCCACCGACATTTCTCCTTCGAGGAGACTTCATCCGGAGCACATGGATCCATGTGCCACAGTCTGAATCTAGCCAGATAGCGCTCGTAGTCTAGTAGATGGCCTCGGAGGAGGCATGTGTTGAAGACTTCCGCTCCCTGAAACGCCGAAAACATCCCTTCCCAATAGATGAAAGTGGTATCATGTTGAATTTATCCTCGCCCAAACCAGCCTCCTTTTTGCAGGCGACCATGCAGATATATCAATAAAGAAAAAGGTCCAAAGAAAAGAAAAGGCTTTTTCGAAATATGTCTATGCTCTCATGCTTTGAGTTGTTGAAAACAAAGCAAATTCATCACATTCGTCAAAAAAAACAAGAGACAACAAGTTCTACGCGATCACTCAGGACGCATTTAGAACTTGAGAGTCTTGGGCTTCTCCCAGGAGAAGCTCTGGTTGGTGAAGTGACCGTTCTTGGCGGTCTGGAAGTAGATGGGCTTGGCAAGGTCCAGCTCCTTGACAATGACACCAGGGCGGAGATCGAAGTTCTTGCGGATGATCTCGACGAGCTCATCCGAGGACTTGTCGGAGGTACCGTAGGTCTCGACAAAGATGGAGAGGGGCTCAGCGACACCAATGGCGTAGGAGAGCTGGACAAGGACACGGCGGGCAAGGCCGGCGTGAACAAGGGACTTGGCGATCCAACGACCGACGTAGGCAGCAGAGCGGTCGACCTTGGAGTAGTCCTTTCCGGAGAAAGCACCACCACCGTGGGCACCCCAGCCACCGTAGGTGTCGACGATGATCTTACGGCCGGTGAGACCGGCATCACCCTGAGGACCACCGATGACGAAGCGGCCAGAGGGCTGGATGTGGTAAACGGTGCGGTCGTCCAGGAGCTCAGCGGGGATGACCTTCTTGACGATCTTCTCCTTGATGACAGCACGAAGCTCCTCAGTGGACACATCATCGCTGTGCTGAGCAGAGACGACGACAGTGTCCACACGGAGGGGCTTGACGGCACCGCCGTCGTGAGTATACTCAACGGTGACCTGGGTCTTGGTGTCGGGACGGAGCCAGGGGATGGAACCGTCGGTACGAGCCTGCTTCATAGCAGCGTTGAGCTTGTGAGAGAGCAGGAGGGTGAGAGGCAGGAGCTCAGGGGTCTCGTCGGTGGCATAACCGAACATGATACCCTGGTCACCGGCACCGAGCTTCTCAAGAGCCTCATCGTAGTGGAGACCCTGAGCAATGTCGGGGGACTGCTGCTCAATGGCGACAAGGATGTTGCAGGTCTTGTAGTCGAAACCCTTCTCGGAGTCATCATAACCGATGTCCTTGATGGCACCACGGATGATCTTCTGGTAGTCCAGCTTGGCATTGGTGGTGATTTCACCAAAGACCATAATCATACCTGGGCAGAAAATTAGCATAAGACGCCGATTGAGAGACATGACAAGAATTAACATACCAGTCTTGGTAGCAGTCTCACAAGCGACCTATACGGGGGCAAGTCAACATCCATTGATTCGCACGGCAAAAACTTGGCGGAAAAGGACCCGGTCCAATAAAAACGGAGAAAATTTTTTGAAAGGGGGGCGAATGTACCTTGGAGAGAGGGTCCTCAGCAAGGCAGGCATCGAGCACGGCATCAGAGACCTGGTCACTGTTCAACTGTTAGATGACTTGAATGGATTGAAGGGTAATGAGAATTCGAGAGACTCGTATAGGACACATATATCATAAGGTAAGAGAGGGGCAGAACTCACGCAATCTTATCGGGGTGACCCTCACCGACCGACTCGGAGGTAAAGAGGAAAGTGTTAGACTTCGCGACGCTGCCCATTGTGAATTGAGATTATGAATTAGGATGGAAGAAAAAAGAGGAGGGAGAAAGAAGCAAAAAGAGAGGAGAGATGAGGATACGAGAAAGGTAGATAGACTGGAGAGAGAGGGGGAAAGTGGATGGATATGAGAAATGGATGGAGGGGGAGAGGGAAAAAGGAGGAGGGGATTTTGGCCCCGATGGCGCCATCTTGCTCCGGCGGTGAACAGAGGCAGAAAAGAGGGATGCTCTCCCACTTTTCATTCCGGCGTCCGAATGCATCCAATCGGTGCTGATGCTGGTGGCTGAGCATCGGTCTTACTTGGAGTACCTTGACAGTGCTGACAGCAGTCTTTAGTTCACTGTCCAATAATATCATCTAGTTAGTGCACAGTTAGCGTGCATAGGTCTATTCCAGGTTGCAGATGGTGTCCCGCGAGTCGACGTACTAACTCGAATAATCCGCCTAGCGCATCCATTTACCACCGCGAATAACCTTCATATACACAACCAACACAAAATGTCGAAATTCGGAGTCCTGGTCATGGGCCCGGCAGGCGCCGGCAAGTCGACCTTTTGCAGTGCCCTCATCCAGCATCTCCAGACCACGCGGCGAAGTTGCTTCTATGTGAACCTCGACCCGGCCGCCGAAAGCTTCAACTACGAGCCCGATCTGGACATCCGCGAGCTGATCACGTTGGAAGATGTGATGGAGGAGATGGAGCTGGGTCCCAATGGCGGGCTCATCTACTGTTTTGAATTCCTCCTGCAGAACCTGGACTTTTTGTCGCAGGCGCTGGACCCGCTGAGCGAAGAGTACCTGATCATCTTTGACATGCCGGGGCAGATCGAGCTCTACACACATATCCCGCTGCTGCCGTCGCTAGTGCAGTATCTTTCGCGACAGGGTCCGCTGAACATCAATCTGTGTGCGGCGTATCTACTCGAGAGTACGTTTATCGTGGACAAGGCCAAGTTCTTTGCGGGGACGCTGAGCGCCATGTCTGCGATGCTGATGCTGGAGATGCCGCATGTGAACATTCTTAGCAAAATGGATCAGGTGCGGGATATGATGTCGCGGAAGGAGCTCAAGCGATTCGTCAACGTTGATGTAAATTTATTACAAGACGACGATGTCGGGGATGCAGAAGAGACGGCCGAGGGGGACCCCAGTTCCAAGGATACTCTGCTGAGTGGGGGATCATTCAAACGGTTGAACCGGGCCGTGGGGCAATTGATCGACGACTTCAGCATGGTATCTTTTCTGAAGCTGGACGTTCAGGATGAGGACAGTGTGGCCGCGGTGCTGAGCCATATCGACGACGCGATCCAGTACCATGAGGCGCAGGAGCCGCGGGAGCCAAACGACGAGCAGGATGTGAACTACGAGGATGCCGATATTTGATCTTGTCACCTCGTCCACCGTACGACTACATCATACGACACTGAAAAACCACCGACGTATAGACGTCTGCACTTCGTCAGCCGATGTGCGTATCACCGCGTCGAATCGCGTCAGCACAAGCCCGCCGGCCATTAAACCAAGGCAGCGAGAACAGAGCACAGCTCAGAAACCAAACCAGAGACTGTACATACCGCGTCAGCGCACACATAATACCTACAGCCGAAAATGAGATGACATGACATGAATGACATGAACATTATGCATAACGTCGTAAGATTAAGGCCAGCATCAGCTTAGCCGTACACCGTATCGCTCCAACCCAAGAATGACAATGCCCAATGACCAAGACCCGAGAAAGAATCACCTCCCCTTCCTCCCCTTCCCGCCATACCCTCGGGGTGCCTCACGTCTATACCCATATCCATACCCACCGGCACCGGGACCGCCAGCCGGCGCCCTCCCACTCTCAACCCCAGCAAGAACCTCCTCCCCAAACCCCCAAAGCACGCCAAGCACCCACCCAAGATCCCTCCCCGCCTTCTCCAGCCCAACACTGTAAACATAGCATCCGAGCGCAACGACCGCCCCCCAGAAGACAACCCTCACCGCAAGCATGACCCAGAACATGACCACCCGGCGTGCATAATCCAGTACCTTGAGCGAGACAACCAGCACGAAGAGGAGAAGTAGTACGGAGACGAGATCGGGGGTCGAGGACGCGAGGAGGCGCGAGAGGGGGGTGATGAGGTAGGGCTCTAGGTAGCTTGTGCGGATGCTGCTGAGCGACGATGACCAGTTTGTGGCGTGGCTGCGGAGGTGTTGTAGTGTGGGGTTTGTGAGGAGGGGTGTTAGGTAGTCTGTTCTTTCTGTTAGTTGGGTTTCTATCGGGGGTATAGACTGGATGTGCTGGGCGGAGGGTGGCGGACCTGGGAGGTAGTATTCCATTTTTTGGGGATCACCGTTCTGTCCCGGAGGTTTGTATAAGGCTGGGCGGTGTTTGAGGGAAGTATGTCAGTGACTCTGGCAAAGAAATGCAAATGATGATGCTAGTTGTTTTGTTGTACTCTGTAAAGGACAAATCGCGTGGATGCTTGATAGATAAACTGGAAAGCATGCGAAACAAACAAAGCAAACACCGCATACCTTAGCAATAGCAGTTGCGGAGGCATACTCACGCTACACATAGGTTACCTATGGATCAATGCTCATTAATAGCTCAGTATTCCTCTGGTTATGTACAATGAAGATATACATCATCCCCATGTCTTTGTCACGCTGACGTCGTCTGGAATATAGCAGAAGAAACACCATGGTATATACATTAAAGATTATTAAATTATTGGGCCATCAAGGCCTTGAATGCCTCTCGCTCGGCTTGGATCTCTGCCTGGAGTTTCCGAGTCTGGCGGAGTGCTTCGTCTCTGCAAACAGTTAGCTATCTCGTATTCACACCACACCAATTATCAAAGAACGTACCGGTCAGATTGCAGTTCGGCCACCTCGATTTGAGCCCGGTTCATCCGACTGACCACTTCCTCCATCTCCGTATCTGCATCCCGCAGGAGCTTCTCCAGCTCCTTCACCCGCTTCTCTAGCGTCTCCGCCTGGATCGCCTCGTTCAGCGGAATGCCATCACCGCTGGTCGTCTTGTCTAGACGGGGCGAGCGAGCACCAAACGGTGCGCTGGGCGGCTTCGGCGACAGTGCCGCCGGGCTGCGGGAGCCGTTCTTCACGCGCATCAACTGCGCGTTGTGGCTGACCTCGAGGTTACGAATCTCCTCCTCGTGACGCGCCATTTCCTCCTCGGAGAGCTGCTGCGCCGTCAGCAGCGTCTCCTCCAGCTCCTTGAGCCTGGCCTGCAGCTCGTTGATCCGGGCCGCCGACAGCTGCTGATCCTTTTCGCCCTTGCCAATCGCCTCGGCCAGGCGGTTGCGGAGAGAGTTGTTCCTCTGTAGCTGTTGCTGCACATGGTTCGCCAGTGCTTCCGTTCGACTGATGGACGCCGCGAATGCGTCACTCTCCACCAGCGGAGAGTGAGCCGCACTGGCTTCGACGACTTCCCGTTCCGCCTGCAACTGCTTGTATGCCATCTCCAGAGACGAAGAGGTCGCAATGACCTCGGCAAAGCCGTCACGCTCGGATTCAAGTCCATCCGGGATCGCGATATCATGCTCCTGCAGCAGAACACGCAACGAAGTGGTCTCCTGCTCGGCACGGTCCAAATCCATCTTCAAACCTGCCAGTCCCTTTTCACATTGCCACTTCTGTTCCAAGGCGTCCTCTGCCCGCTGGCGGAGATGGTTCACCTCATCCCGGAGATTCCGCACCTCGCGCTCATACCCCAATCTACGTGGGGAGCCCGCTTCATGGGCATGAGCCAGCTCCAACTCCATTATCTTTAAGCGCTTTTCGTACTCGCGAGCCTGCTGTTCTTGCCTCATGAGCAGATACCGCAGGGCTTGGTGCAGCGCATCCCGCTGCGCCTCCACATCTTCCATACGGTCTGCCAACGCCTCGCGATCCCCACGATCCTTGGTCGACACGGAATTCGACCGAGACAACGAGTTTGACCGCGACAGCCCACCTGCGCCGCTCGATTTCGAGTGCCGTGCCAGCGAATTCGACCGCGACAGACCCAGTCCCGCGGGTCTCCGTTGGGGCATACCGCCTTCTTCGGCGATCGACGCAAACCGAGTGCCTTGCAGTTGAGCCAGCGAGGCATTCTCGATCTTCAGAGCCTCAATCTCGCCGAGCAATCGCTGAATCTCCGAGGACTCGGGGGCGGGTGTGCTCTGTGGCTGCTGCTGCTGTTGCTGCTGCTGTAATTGAGGAATCACATTATCCCGAAGATGGTCGCGCTCGTTTCGCAACTGCTCCAGCTCCACTCGCATCGCCGTCAAGAGGTCTTCAAAGTTGTCCTTGATCTGGCGTTCCTCCGCCAGTTTTCTGCGGGTATCTTCCAGAGCGATCTCGAGTTCCCGAGCCTTGGAGGATAAATCGGAGGACTCGACTCTCTCTCGTCGTAACTGACCGCGTTAGCTGAGCTAAAGACGAAATACGGCAAAACATACTTGGTTTACTTGCGATTCAAGTATCTGAACATGTGACTCGGTTGCGGCCCGACGGGCTCTTTCTTCCTGCCACTTCTGCGACAGCTCAACCTTGAGCTGTGCGCGTTCCTGCTCGGCTGCTCGCCGATACTTGTCCAAATCATCGATCTTTCCATTGGCATCGTATATATATCGTATAGAGCTAGTTCCGGAGTCGGAGAAGTAGTCGCTGGTGCGCCGGTTGGCGGCGTCCAGCGGCAACTCGGATTGCAACCTCTCGACCAGATCTTCCAGTTCCATCTCCCGCCGAATGGAACCGGCCAGCTCGGAACTGATCTCGCGGAGTTCATTTTCGAGATCCGCCAGCTTCGAGGCTGACCCGGCCTCGAGGACACTGGCGCCACTTAGGGAAGGGTTGCGGGCCGGTACCCGGGTGGGATCGAACGGTACTGTTGTCGAGGGGGTGATGGAGAAGGACGCGGTGGTCATTGAAGGAGGCATCGGGGATGGGAGAGGGGACCGGCCCGAATCCGAGATCTCGGTGCTCGAGGACTCCGCGCTGGGCGATGTGGTAACGGCTTTCCAGCCGAAGAAGGAGCTGATTTTGTTCCCAGGGGTCTTGGGCTGTTTCGAGTCCAAGGAGCTGGCCGATGCGGTTCGGCCGCCGGACTCGATGTGCAAAGGCGGCGGGCGGTTGGATGATGGACGCAATGCCATGGTTTGGGCACGCTTGTGGCCCGGCGGAGAGTTGAGCACAGGGATGAATGGTTCGCTGACAAGACGGTTGTGCAATGGGGTTCCATTCGAGAATTGAGCGGTGTAGATGGACTCCTCGTCGTCCTCCCCGTGCCAGTAGGCCGCGGAGGTATCTATCCGAAGAGGGGGAGCGGAGGTACCGCCTCGAGAGGATCTAGAGAAGAGCAATTGAAGCACGAGGTTAGTTCTATAGCGTCCGAAGGGGGGCATCTGACATTGCGTTTGGATCTCGGATAGAGAGGAACGGAAGGAACGGAAGAAACGGAAGAAACGGAAGAAACGGAAGAAACGGAAGAAAGCGAAGACAGGCGATTATTTAAGGGGGATGCGAGGGGGCGAGCCAGAGGAAGCACGGGAGGGCGAGCGTGAGCCCCAACACTGTCATACCTGTCGAGGTCCTTGGGTACGAAAAGAGTGTCTTCTTCATACACTGATGATCCAGAAGAGAGGGTGTAAGAGTGAGAAGCAGGAAGGTTGCTTCTGATGACGGGAGGAGAGGATAGGGCTTTGGTGGCCTTGGGTGGAGGATCTGTAGATGTCTTGGCCGCAGGAGAAGAGGTAGCCACCCCAGCTTTAATTGCCGTAATAGGAGTAGTGGCAGTGGTATCAATTGGCGTGACGGGAGTCGTCAAAGAAGGCCTAGATAGGCGGAAAGACTTCACAGGGGAAGAAGCATGCTGCTGGGGGACGGGCTTTCTGCGCACCGGAGAAGCACTACCGGCGGGGATAGAAGGGTGATGGTGGTGATGAGAAGAAGAAGGAGGCGTAGGAAAAGAAGAAGCAGAGGGAGGAGGACTTGGCCAACTGGAGCTACTGGCGCTCCGACTGTCTTGGGAGTGTGGATGATAGGCGTCGGGGGAAGAGGATACTAAAGTGGTCGAGGTGCCAGCTGCAGGCGGAGAAGGCCAGCCCACGGGCATCTTGGAGAGGGGAGAAGGAAGAGGGAAAGTCGATCAGGACAGGAACGGGACGAGGGAATGGGGGTTGGAACGACGGTCAATGAAGATGAAGATCAGACTAGACGGCTAGTAGCTCTCTCGATCGACGCACCCTCATGTTGATGACGGGCAATTCTCAGGACGATTGAGAGAGCACGGGGCTGTTTGAGGATGACACGCGGCCACTAGTGGATATCTGGATGAAGGAGGATTGACCGGATATAGTAACAATTGGGGTCGGTGCCAGGGGAAAAGAAGTTAGGGTGGTTACTGGTTAGGAGAATGAGAAAGGCTGTGAAGAACCAAGGGGGTCAAAGAAAAGAAAGGACAAGGGGCCCTGCAGCGGGAGGATTAGGGAGAAGAATAATAGTCTAGACACTAGACAGTAGTAACTAGTTCGAGTACTCCAGGTAGTATTAAGATGGTATGCAGCCAGACTAAGAAAACTAAAAAAACCAAATCCTCTATCAGAGCTGTTCTTGGAGCAATCTGGTTGGCTGGATCTCGTGGCTTTTTGGCGCTGCACAGACGAGGTGGAGCTTTTCTTAAGGACGGTTTGATATCAGCATCGCGATTCGCGGCTGTTTGAAGACTCCTACGCTACATACTATAATTGCACAGCGAATGATGATACTCCTATTGTATCGATGAGAGATGTCTGCGTTCGCTTAAAAGGCTTACTCTCCAATCGTTCTCTTTGAGGAGTCCAGGACACTGGACACAACAGTTCCACCACTGGTCTTTATCTTCTGGTTTGCTACCAGTGCTACTGTCTAATCTCAAGCGAGTGTACTCCGTACAGAGTGTAACATCTCAACTCCCATTCCCAAGACCACCTCTCGCACGGCTCCGCGAGGCCGACTACGAGTGGACTAGACTGGCGATCGGCAGACCAAGCCAAGGCCATTGTGGAGCCCCAACACTTTCAGGGGTAATCCATCCAGCACTGAGAAGGGGAAAATCATCCCTATCGTTGTCATTCAGTGTCTATCTTCCTAGTGATGAACATACGCACGGCATCTAACGCGAATCAATCAGATTGAAGCATGAGCGCCTCGACAATCTCAAGTCCAGGGGAATCGCTGCATTAAGCGCCCACTCGGCAGTCATCCTTCTGTGCATAACCTTAACGACGCATGGCCATTGGCAAACGTCTAGGCGATGAAAAACATTCTGCAACTTGCATTGGGCATAGACGCCA